GTATGCAGCGTTAAACACTTTCTTAAGGTTTTCCTTTAGTCACAAGACATACTGAGGCGCGTTATCCACCGACTCTTTCTTACGAGGGAGCGAAATGTCGGGTGGGACTCTCATTTCACGGCCCGTGAGTATCTCGAATAGTGGAGACTCCAGTCGAGGTGAGTGGAGGCTCGGTAGACGAGGCAGGCCCACCCTAGTTGCAGATACCAATCCTCGAGCTGCAATCCTTTGGTAAAGACCTTCAATAAGTCGAAAGTTGTGCTATTTCTCCGTTCTGATTGTCCAGTGCTCTGAGGGTGGCCCAGTGTCGTAGGCGTTTTACGAATTCCAAAGGCTTTGCACAGCTCTTCGAAGAGACAACTTTCCATGGAATCAAGCACACCATGTTAGCAGGTCCAGCGATTGAAGAATATTATTACCACCGATTGCCACTGTCTCAGCATCCTGCAATTTTAAGAATTCAGCTTTTGCGACCCTAGTGAAATGGTCTACCATCAGCAGAATATAGCGACTCCCTCTTGGAGCCGCGGGAAGCGGACCTATGATATCTATGCCTACCCGCTTCACTGGAAAGCCCATGGACATCGGCTGTAGAGGAGTTACCGCGGTGCGAGTTGAATCCTTGAGGCTGGTACATGTGACGCACGCGCGAAAAAGATCGAGAACATCCGATATCAGCGAAGGTCACCAATATCTTTCCCCCGCGACATCAACCATCTTCCTTTCTCCCACATGGCCAAGTTGCTCATACAACTCCAACAGAGCTATCTGAATCAAGGAACCTGGTATTATGGGGCGTCTAGGTCCCGTCACATTGTTTTTTTACCGCATGACGTCGTATTCTAGGGAGTTCATCCGGAGTACTTATACCTTCCTCCAACCTATCGGAAGCCTTAGCACGCTAAAACCTAATTAAAAAAATTTTTAACAAAGTAGCATTCTTTTGTTTAATGACATCTGTGAAGGGTTTTCAATTTTAATTATTGATAGCAAAATTAATAGCATTAGTAAAAAATTACACAAACATCCGTTTTTCAGTATTGTTTTTGTAAATAGGAAAATAATTGTATACAGCGTCGCATTGTTTCAATAAATTGGTGCCACTTCATATTGATTGCCTGCTTCGGTCGCTTGTTTTGAATTTTTTACATGAGGTTTATTCGGCTCTGATGTATTCGTGTATTTTTGAAGCTCAGTTGTTCGCTTAGATATCTTTCAAAGATGTGGACTCATGGGACCGCTACGCCTACCGGCACCTCTATTCATTGTGATACTAACCAGCTAACTCAAAACCATCTTGCTCCAGTAGCCAGTGGTATGTAATAACACCGTCATAACTAATGTCTATAAGAGGGCTTTGGTGTGAATTATCCAGATACTCGTTGCATTGTAGTCAGCAAACATGAACAGCGTCAACCGTATGACCATAAAAGGGATCGTGATTTGATTGAGGTGAGTCATTAATTTTCTCGTTGTTAGATAATCTCATGTTTATTCCACAGTAATATGGCTTTCTCCGCTATACGATTTCTGGCGTTACTATTTTGCACAACTTGATATCTTGGAGTTGCCGCTCAATATGAATTTTTTCATTGCTTTTCACGAGTTATGTAGGATCTTATCATCTGCAAAATGATACGGCGCTTTTTAGAGCAAACTCTCTCATTTTGCATGCACTTTAACAAAAACCTTTTTGGCTGGTTTGGTTTTTCAGGCTATTGATGTCCATCGAATAAATAGGTTATTGGATGTATCACTTATGTAAAGTCCATTTGGTGTAGTTGCGTGGTCGTTGTGCACAGTTGGAAAAGACAGTTCGCTGGTGGTCAGACTGTACTACAAACTGGCGTGAAAAGTGGTCTTGCGTTCGTGATGAGCGAAATCAGCTAAGAGAGGAATTGCGTAGAACAAAGTTGGCACTGATTGCTCTGCAACGACAAAACGAGGAGCTCATTCACCGCCTAGATCAGCTTTCTACTGGCTCGAAGTTTGTTGGTAAGTTCCTTTAAATGATTTTTTTTAACGTTAAATATGGCCATAAATTTTTTTGACTTTTTAAGATCAACCGCTTGTAGAATCTGGTCGATCGATTCCTGAAACCTTTGAATCTCTGAATAAGGTACTAATCGTCAAAGTCAATATTTGTTCTTAAACAAGTTACTTAACTAGATGCATAAAGCAACCTTTTTAAAAATGTTTAGGGCAACAGCTTTTAGGCATTGATTATGAAAACGTTGTCTTCCCTTATCTCCATTCTGAAATATTAAGTATCTAGTCGAAGTTGTACGTCCATCTATGGTGATGTTTATCCACCGGCTACTAGTTTTTCTCCCCAAAATTTCCTTTTTGTAAAAGTTCTTGATTGACAGGGTCCACACATTGCAAATCGGGCGATTTTTGCGTAGTGCATTTTAAACATTTTTTTAACCAATCAATGTATATTTGCAGTTTTAGTCTTTTCTAGGTAGAATCCTAATCAGCATTCCAATTTTCTGAATTTGATAATCCTCAGCCGAATGAGGAGGTCTTGAAACGCGAGAACTGTGAGCTTAAAGAACGATTGGCAGAGATGACTCGCCGCTTGGCGTCGGCAGCTGAACACTCTCGTCAAGATCGTCGGAGTCGATCGTCGGGGGCCTCCTCGTGTTGTCACTCTTCAGCTTCTCGCAGTGCCTCTTCCTCCCCATTCTCTGCTGGCTCCGCCTCCACTTCCGTCTCCGGCACTGCCTCTTCCCGAGCCAGCAACATTTCACCGCTCCCCACTCGAGGTAGTGTACCAATGAATTAACCCTATTATGAGCCACCATTAAATGAATTGTAAAAAGTAATGTAGGTTCATTACAAAGCACCACATGCTTGTTCATCCTCTCCACCTTGTTGACTTATCTCTGTGCCTTGTGAGTGGTGGTCATCTAATCACCATCCTTTATCGCATTTCCATGTAATGAATCATTTGGTTAGGATTTTAAGCAATTAAGTCTCCAGGGCCACTATAAGAAGTGACTTTTTATCGACTAGCCGGGCCGGAAAATTGGCAGGGCTCAAAAATAGAAGCATACTGGCATTCTACAAACAATAAAGTTCATTTGCCATGTTTTGCAGACGATCTATTCCTCGGACTTAAGCTTAACTTTTAAACTCTCCCAAATTCAGTACTATTTTGCTGCCATTAATTGTAATCTGCTAATGACGCAGAGGGCCATCAACCCATATTTATCTAGTTTGCTACCTTTTATTTATCTTAAGTGATTAATTCGGTTCTTCAAACCCCCCCCCCCACTGTTTTGGTCCTATCATTCAGAAAACTGTTGTTTAGTGTGATCTGGATATTGATCCCAAATTCTTTTGGTTTTTCTTGCCTTTGAGCTTGACAGCTGTCTAGCGTGAACAAAGCAATTGACTAAGGGGCTAATTATACTTGGAATCTCTGTCTTCCGCCCCGTTTATCTTTGATGGAGAAATCATTAGCAGCTTTGAGGTTGCTGTTCCACTAGGTCCGAGAGATTTAAAAGCTATCTTTACAATCGGATAACCAGTTCAGCTGGTTGTCTAATTACTACCTCTAGTCACGCTTTATACATTTTATTGCACTTTCATTCGCTTAGAATAGTACCTCGACAACTTGTTTTGTAACAACCAGAATAAATCTACTAAATCCATCAATCCCCAAACATCTGATAGATTTGGCGAGTGCATACAATCTGGCTTGTAAGCTCTACAAATAACCCCTCGTCGTTTTGGGCAACCAGGCTCCATCACAGACCCTACGCTGATTCAACCAGCGATAACACTTCACACCCGACTGTGAACATGTGGGTCCTGGATCGTAATTAGGCTTCTTTGCGGAGGGGCGGCTGCTAGCAAGTACACCCATCAGTAATAACGCAACCCCGTCACGATCGCGCAGTGAATCCACCTGGGGCTGAGACCCGAGTCACATTATCTTTGTCTTTGTGGCATCATAAACTCACTGCGGTACTTCTCGATGAAAAGACGCCGCATTAAATCAATACGACTTTGCGTGCGAAATAAAACAACCACACTAAACCCAACTATAACCACACCACTCCGCTACTTTCTAAAGTGACACCAAAGAGTCGTCCAAAGCGCAACAGTTCTGCTTTTCTAGACTCCAAAACAAACTCTAGTCATCGCCCCACCCGTCCCGACAAATCGTGGTCAATGTAAAAGGTCAACAAACCCATCACTCGCAAAATTAGCCTGTGACCCTACCTTCT